CCTCTTTCGGGTCAGTCTGCGCCGCCGGGGGGGCCGCGGAGCAGGGGGGCCCTGTTGCCCGGGAGAGCTCGGCCTCCTTCATCCGGGGCTGCGTGCCGGGAGGTCTCGTTGCACGGGAGCTGTCATCCCTGTTCACCCGGGGTCGCTGTCCGGGAGGGCCGAGGGTCGCGTTGTATGGGAGGTCTTGTCCCCTTTCCCCCGGGGCTGCATCCCAGGGGGGTCTTTTTGCGTGGGAGACATCATCCCCCTTCCCCTGGGCTGTAGTCCAAGAGGGCCGGGGGTCTCATTGCATTGCTGATCTCATCCCCTTTACCCCGGGACTGCATCCTAGGCGGTCCGGGAATCTCGTGTGACAGGAGATTGCGTTCTTTTTCTCTCTGGGCTGCATCCCGGGAAAGCAGGGGGCCTCAATGCATGGGAGAGCTCGCTCCCCTTCCCCTGGGGATGCATCCCCAGGGGAGGTTTGGGGGTTATTTCTTGTATGGGGCCAGGTTGCACGGGGTGTGCATGGAGGAGGGAGAGGGCTGCATTTCTGTGTGTCGTCTGCAGTTTGCAAGAAAGATGTCCTTTGCTGCTTTCCCTTCCCTGGTGCGGTGGTAGAAGGGTTGGCGTGGGGATAGCTGCTGTACTGCAGTGCTGGGCTGACCTTCTTCAGAACATGGGGGATGCAGGGATGCTAGCATCCGACAATCAGTCACAGCCTCTGAAAGGGTTTGCTGGCCATTTGTCCCCTCCCTGTTAAACTGCTGCTTTGTAAGGGACAGGATGAGCAGGACTTCCCTGATAGTGAAGAACAGCTTCATTAATTTCTTGCAGTGAAAAGCATTCATAAAGAAATGAGACCTTTCGGATGGCTCAGTCCTGGCAGAGGGGATTTCTCCCACGCTACCTTTCTAGAGAGGTGCCGTAGACTTTGCTATGCAATTTACCTTGGCCTTGATAGGACTTGAAAGGCAAAAGCAATGGAGGTGCTGTCTTTTGGGTCAGGTGACAGTCCTCTCAGAGGTACAGAGACAACCCTTTTCTCACCTACCCAGGCGTATGGTGGCACATGGCCTTGAGTAGCTACAGGAGCATGTGTGGTTCTCTGCGTCTACATGGGACAGGCCTTGTTTCCTGGAGAAACTGCTCCCTTCAAGGCTGTTTCACAGAGCTACCAGAGCTACTGGTAGCTTAATTACTACAGCTTCACAGTACAGTACAGTGAAAAGGAAGCTATCGGAAATTACTGCTTTCCTCTCTCTGCCCTACTGGCTGCCAAGGCCTGTCTTTGAAGTGGCTCTACCTTTGCTGTTCAGAATTGTCCTTGCTTATTCTGGTAACGTGAGGTGGTGCTTGTCCTGTCCAAAGTTCCAGTCCAAGGCCTCTGGAGTCATCTGAAGCTGCTAAAACGGCATGCAGGCAAGGAAGGCTTCAATAGTAATGTGCTGGCTTTTTATGTAGAACTGAACGTGTCCTTAGTACCTGTATCTGTCTGCGTGTAGCTACTGATGGGCAGCATACAGCACCTGGAAATTCTGGCTCTGGTCTGAATGAGGTTGGAGGTACTGTAACAGATGGGAGGTAATTTCCTTTGTGCTCCAATTTCTCCTTGTGCGAGGCATGGCTCGTCTTTACAGAGTGCACACTGATCAGAGGGTGAAAAAAACTCTTTGGAGTGCTGTGGAGTCCACAGAGTGCCCTTGGAGGACGCTTGGCAACTTTTACTGACGCTGAAGTATAATTCCCTTGGAGAAATGGGTCACGATTGTAATTGCAGAAGAATGAGGAGAGTTGATCGGAGCTGGTTCTTGTGGCTAAACCTGAGTGTGTTGTAGTGATGAGATGCTAAGTGACAGTGTGATAGCATCAGTTTCCTCCCAGCAGATAGGTGGAGGGGGTAGCAGCAGGGAGAGGAGACTATTTTTTAAATGTTATTATTACTTTAGCATCTGAAACTTCCTCTGTTTATTCTGCTGGACTTGCCATGTGAAAAGCTGGAGGTTGTGGCTTTCCCCTAAAAGCATTAGTAGTTTTTAAGAAATCGGTTTTTATTGCATGGCTCTTGTGCAGGTAGGAGAGGAGTGGGTCATTCAGCAGCAGAGTAAAACGTTCCATCACTCAGGGAGGAGGAAAGTATAAAGAAAAACCTCTTGTTTAACCTGGGAACAAAACTTCTCCCACGCTCAAGACCCTTTGCTTCCCAGTATAGACTCAAAGAGGGTCCTTCCTCATTTTGAATTCCTTAATGTTCTGTCCAAGAACTGAAGCACTCATGCTTATAAAATGAATTCATTCAGTGTCCCGAGAATGACACCTTCCTGCATGTTAGTTATAAATAATAGATCTTGCTGCTTGGATTGTAATTCTCTGCATCTGAAGAGGAAGTGACTCTTACCGCAAGG